AACCAAAAAAAACAATAAGATATTGAGATTAGATGTGAAGATTTCCTAAAATAGATGAATATTTACTCGTTATCTAACAGCTTGTCCATTTCTAGTGATCGATTGGATTAAGAAATATACGAAAAGCCTATAGACTTTGAGCTCTTTCACTTCCCCATTCATTGCAGGCAAATCATTTTGGGAGATATAAGAAAACTGATGAAACACAAGATTTCTTCCGGAAGTAGGCGAACAGAAATTTGACTTGATCAAAATAATGAAAGAATCATGAAATATTGAGAAGAAGCAGATGATGATGAAGAAGAAGAAGAAGAAAAAAAGAAGATATAGATTTCGTATACTTTCTTAGGGAAGACCGAATTCTCCCACAATTTGTAGAATGAATGAGCTTGTCTAAGAGTTTTGATATGCAAATCATAGAAAATTCAAGGAATATAAATACTTAATGAGAACAATTGAACGGAATTAACTGACAATGAAACAGCCGAGTACACAGATTTTATAACAAAAAAAAAAGAAAAAAAAAGTTATCGAAAAGCCATGTTTAGCATCTGCTTTCTGCTCACGCCAGAGTCCATGTATACTAATCAATTGAGTTGAAGTCTTATAAATAAATTAATCCATTTCATATTCACAATAGCCTTATTAGGTTTCTCAGGTGCTCAAAACAATCAGCAAAGATGTGATATATGTATGTAAACGTAGTGAAACAAACTGATACAACAAGAGATAAAGCGATTTTGCAGTTACCATAAGCGTGCGAGACAGCAAGAAACCCACGTCTCTGTTTGGATAAATAATGAAATATGAAGGAGTTTTTTTTGAATGCCAAATATGGATTACCTCAAGTGATCCTTATGTGAATATTAAGAAAGCAGTCTATTAATTGACTCCAACGACCCTTCATTGGGAAATTACAGATTTCCTTCTCATTTGCATTTGTTTGCTTACAGCACAAGCAACGGATATGCCTCAGTGTACGTTTCGCTCATTTGTTCTAGTAACCTGCAACTTATAAAATCCTTGAAAAGAGAGAAGAAATTTGAGTTTCATAAATATGGATGTTCTCGTAGTCTTTTCCGCATCTTTCCAAGAACCGTAAGGTTTCCACCCAACACAGTTGGTTCAGACAAAGAGCTTTCGAAAGATCCAGGAATGTAATTAGGTATGTCACCCAGGATAGGACATCAATTGCTCAAATTTACATCCCTCTAGCCTCTTCAGAGTCTAACCCCTTACTGTTGATAAAAATGAAACTTCTTAGTAAAGATCTTGAGGTGTTACCACTATGCTGGTAAAGTGGCAAACTTAAAAAGAGTCCGAAAATGGCATAGTCCTAATCAAAACTGCTTCTGTACGCATACTTGATAAGATTCCTTTGCCCGTTATGTTTTGTTATACGATATAAGATCTCTAGACACGAGCAAAGAGAAACTGGAACGAACATGTTTTATGATGAATAATTTTTACGGGACAATGTTTAAGCGGTGTGAGTGGGTGGTAATATTACTCAGTTCCATTTCTTGAAATGTTAGGTCTAAGGGTGCTCTTGCCAGCTTGGGATTGAAGCCAGAAGAGATCAACGGAGATGATTTGTAAGATTCTAGTTTTCAAAGTAAAAACGTAGTAAAAGTTATTAAACAGATCTTGTTTTTATTAATACAATACGGCTATGACATCCTGATGTTGTTGTGTCCTCAATGTTTGGGGGTTGGGGATGCTGAAATCAGTATATAAGGGTTACACGTAAATTGGTACGTGATAGCACTGCTAACACTTACTCATAAGTGATAGTGAGGAAGAGTATACGGACAGCGTGAATCGTTCATGCACAGTATTTCACCAAATCTAATCAGGCGCTAGAGGAACAACATCTTTGCATTTGCTCATTTGTTGTTGTTGATTCTCATAACCGTCAATCCTCTTTTCTTTCAAATAAACTGTGAATCTGTCTGAATGAAGAGTCATCCTGTATCTTCTCTTCACTCCACAGTCCTAGGAAACAGTACAACCGCTTGGCACTGACAGACTGATCAAAATGAAATGAACCATCGTTGAAGAAGTAGTGGTGAAGAGCGCTGGTTTTTGGGTATATGAGCTTCAATGTAGAATTAGGAAGATATCAAACTTCTTGTAAGTATATATGCATACATTTCTATCTATTGATAGAAATTGTCAAATATTTCAGCCTTCTGCTATGTATAGGATGAAAAAGAAGTAAGATTAGCGACTCGGTGGTGACAACTGCTCAGATTATATTGAATCATTTTACTTGTAGTTTATTACATATACATAGGTATACATAGTAAAGATACAATAGCCAACTATAATACTGTTCTGAAAATCAACTCTAACAATCTTAGTTTTTTATTTTCAGGAATGGTTTGATATATCGGACTTTGGAATATATTTTCTTGAACTTGAAGTAGGGTATAGCGTTCTTCTTCTGATTGTTCAGCAGTGTTGTTTGAGACTGTTCTAACATGCGATTTTTGCCAAGGAAACAGCCAGCTTGAAAAAGATTCTCGATCACGAGGGCCAATTTTCTTTTCTTCCTTATCAAGAAGGTAATTTTTCATTCTTTTTTCAATGCATATGGAAGGTGAAAAAACTCGGTTAAAATAATCCACCTGGAAACACTTTAAAGTTGTAAGAAGAAACATAAGGCTTACGCACTTTTGTTTTGAAGTTATACTTCCATGAAAGAAGGAAGAGCTCAACACTTCTATCATGATCCATTAAGCTAGTCTCCCACTCAGAATCCATCCTATTTATGCATTTATGAAGAATAGAAGTAACGTTGAAGGTATAACTCCAGTGAAGCAACGTTTCGAAGTTAATTTCTGAAATTGAGAGTGGCATGTCCTATATATTAGCAACAAACCGTCTACAACATCGATAGGGAAATATATGTAATGTAGTAG